TGTCAACAGGCTAAAAGAGGACTGACCTTGATCTCTGACTGCCGTTTGACACAGTAGAGCAGTGTCACCAAATACTAAGCTGAAACACAGAAATGGAACGCACTGCGTTGATTAAACCAGTGCCATGTGCAAACAGATGATTCTAGAGAACTTCACAGAACTAACTTTTCTCAAACTGTTTTGCCGTGACTCATAACCAGCTGATTTTAGTGGATGAAAACTGGCCACCAAAAGTTTGGAATAATTAAGATTTTTGACGTTTTTGAAAGAAGTCTCTAAATCTCACCGAGGCTGTGTTTATTTGAGCAAAAATAGGGTAAAAACAGTGATGTTTTGAAATATTATTGCAATATAAAATAGCTGTTTTCTGTGTGAATATATAGTAAAATGTAATTGATTGCTGTGATCAAAGCTGAATTTTCAGCATCATTACTCCAGTCTTCAGTGTCACATGATCCTTCAGAAATAAAAAATAACAACTTCTAATTTAAGTGAACTACAAACAATCTTCACATAAACCCATTATAATACATGTCATATTTGCCTGTGCCCTTCAGCAAGTAGGAAATAGACAGAAATTGAATAAAGTTATCAAGCACTAAATTCTAAATTAAATATACATGAATCCTTAAAGCTACAAAAGTTATTGATTTCCTTTTTTCTTTTGTTCTTTGATGAAGTCATCACAGCAGCTGGTTATGATGTTATTTGGCTGCTATTACTTTAAGAGCTGCCGCTGCTGAACGTGACGCAGATCTTACACGCATGCTCGTAGTTTCATTCACGCTTTAATACGAAATGAAACAGGCTACAGTGCGCGCCGCCGTATTTGTGTGTGCGATTGAAGAGCACGTGTTACAAGCACAATATAACAGCTGACAGGACAGGAAAATGTGTTTTTACTGACATATAGCCTGACAACCTCTCATCTGCTCTCAGTTCACTGATGTTCTGCTGAAGCTCCTTGTCACCTCGTTACTGTTTCCATGCTCATTTGGAAAGTCTCTCGTTTGATGCGGTCGCAAAGATGTTCTGCGTCTAAATAAACACATTTCTTGTCATGAAAAAAGAGACAGAAGTAGCAGTTGTGAGTGGGGTGGCCAACCCAAGCTCTGCCCCTGCGTTAACTGCGTTAAATATTTAAAAACTTTAAACTGAAAAGATTAATCGCCTGCATTAACGCGCTCATTTTGACAGCACTAAAAAAAAACACATTAAATTGATCAAAAGTGAAGTTAAAATAATTTGTTACAAAAGATATCTGTCAAATAAAAGCTGTTCAATTAACTTTCTAAATTATTAAACTTTCCACAAAAATATTACCATTATTAATAACAGCACCAGTAGATGAGCTGCAGGTGGAGTTCATCACCTGAACTTTTATATTCGACAAAAGCTCTGCCATTGTTTTTAAATCTAGATCCATTATTTCAGATTCTGAAACATAACAAACCTCTTTTTGTGAGATGTTTTGCTTAAAAATTGAGCTTGTTCTGTCTTTCATTTGAAAAATATTCTCTTGGCATTTTGACCAGGGCTGTCAGATCTGCGAAACAAAACTCGCCCAATGGCAGCCCAAAACCCAATGAGGCATCTCACATTTCAAAACTCAAAATATGCCATTGCCATACATACATATTTTTACAGTCATGGGGATTGTTCATGCACAACTACTTGTAAATCACTAAATAATAAAAATCATAATAACAGGATCTCGCAGGTGCTGAATGGCTCCCTATTGCACAAAACTCATCATACAGCACAGTTTTATAATTGGTAGAGTAAAAAATGAGTAAAATATTCCAATACAGCATTTCAGTCAAATGCGGTTTATTCTGTATGTCAAACCTTTAATCTGTGCGACCCTTGGCAACAAACGTTATTTATTTAAGATGCCACGTTTTACTTGATGTTGTTGGTGCAGAGAGAGAGAGAGATGTTCATAAATCGTCCATCTCTGTTGCGTGTGCATAAACGGCGTCTGTGGATTACGTCTTACCTTTGATCTTAGAGCCACAAGAGCCACAGACTGCTTAGAGATTTATCCTGATTGTGTGTTAAGCCTTCGAGCCATGCAGGTGCTGCCATATGGCAAGAGAGCATTCGTAAGGAGGGACGTGACATTACCGCTCCGCACAGCTGACCTTAAGAGACAATGAGACCTGTTTGAAGAGAAAATCAAAGCCGAGCAGAGATCTCTGATGGAGCTGATGGAGTAGGTCTAGCTGGGCAGCGAGCGTTGATGCTTGACCCTGCGGATGAATTATGGGAATAGGCAGTTCCTTTGCTCCCCGATCAGATCAGATCTTTACTATAAGGTATGTGCTGTTATTCATTGTTATTCCACTGCGTTTAGCGCACAGGGTCTTTCGCAACGCACTCTTGAAGAGTTCCCAAGGCTGCTTTAGTTTGTTGACATAAGACAGCCTTCTGTCATTAGCTGTATTGAGAGCATGTGTTTCCCATTATGCTTCTCTTGTACAAAATCTGTCCAATGTCCTTGAGCACACATTCCCAAATGAGAATCAATGACATACAGTCTTCTCTGACTGTGAGCGTCCTCTCATCGCTCTCAGTGAGTGTGAAAGCAGTGATTTTGACATTGTTTGCTTTAACAAACTGAAGAAAACAAACCTCTCTCGGCTGTCTTTAGCTACGGGCTGATCAGATGTTTGCGGTGCAAGGGTTACTTCTGTGTTTCTTCATGTGATGATTTAATCTAAAGTGATTTACGTAGGGCCCTATGATTTCTACAATGTGGAAAGTGTGGACGGAATCGCAGAATCCAGTCATAAAAATGGAATTTGCTGTATAACGCATAGTGGTCGACCGATATTGTTTTTTTGACAGCCGATGCCGATATCTTGGAAAGCAGGGTGGCCGATGGCCGATATAAAGCCGATATAATTGTATTTATTTTAATTAATATTTAAGAAATTTGAAATAATTTTAAAATGGACTAAAAAATGTATTTGTAAAATAAACATACTTATACTTTAGATGACAAAGTATTATTAAATAAATATTTAATAAAAATATAATTAAAAAGGAAGTAAACTAACCAACAGAGCACTCAGTATTCTGGGAAGTTTGTGTGCATTGGGAATCATATTTTTTCAAATAAAGACAAGGCAACACTCATTTTACATGCAGCACACAGTGAAAATGACAGGAATATGACAGTGGGAAAATGCATAAAGCGTAGCATAATTTGAAATCACAAATTTAATGTTTAAAGCATTCAATCGATCATGCAGGATACAAATGCACACTTCACAAGATCTCACAGCTGGATTCGACTAAGTTTGCAAGGTTTGTGAAATTTAATTTTCATTAGACATTCAAAGATTTGTTTAAATGATGTAAATGCGTGTTTGCTGAATGCTGACGGCAAACAAGAAAGTATTATAATGTTTGCCTTTCTATTACTAATAATATAAAAGCAGTCGTTATAAGACTTTTTGTATATATTTTAATTTCTTTGTTCTAACGGTTAACAGTTCTATCGGTTTATTATTAGACATATTTCTATCCGTATTAGACAGCACTGTTAATGACGACGGCGAACAAGAGGGAGAATGTGAGCACTGTGTGTTTAGGCGTTGCCGTTCTCAGCACCGTCAAAATAAAAGTCCCGCCTCGAACGCATCGGCCAAACAGAAAAACGTATTGGCCGATGCCGATATTTAAAAAATGCCAAATATCGGTCGATATATCGGCCTTGGCGATATATCGGTCGACCACTAATAACGCAGATTATCATGGAATTTGCCAAATTTTGGATGAATAAATCAAAAGTATGTCAGTACAGTTAAATCGAAACGTGATATGGACTAGTGTCTGTAAATATTAAGCCACCAAATACTATTTAAATATGAATCCTGCATGTTCTGTGTGTCTCTGTGTGAATAAATGGCGCAGACTTGCAGTTTCGTTTACTACACACATACTGAAGAGCGTGTGACGCTCACGGTGTCTACGGTGTACTAATAAAATTATTAAAACATTTTTAATGAATATTTACCAGAAAAAATATTTACCAGAATTTATTTACCCGAAACATGTAAATACACAACTTAATTGAATAATAAATTAATTTTTTTGTAAAATCAGTTACTCAGAGATGCTTTTGTTTTATTAAAATGTAATTAAACCATTAAAATGGAATCCAGAAAATATACGGAAAACAGAATTTGGTAAAAATGTAACAAAATTTAAGAAGAAAAAAAACGAATTTCATTGGGCCTTAATTAAATTTTTGTTAAACTTTTAATAAATTGCTGTTAAATTGTTTACGTTTCATGTTTTCAATTAACTTTAAATGCTTTTTGATTAATAAAATTTAATTTAACCATTAAAACAGAGTCTATAAAAATTTAAACTAACAAAAAAACAGAATTCAGAAAAATCAAAATGGAAAAAATAAAACAGATTTCATAGGGCCCTACTTACGATGAATGTCAAGCTATAGATTTTCCCTGGGAATTCAACCTTTCACTGAGCTCTACAAGAACTAGTGCTACTATTAGTTAAGCTAATTGTGAATTTTTGTGATTGTTTGTATTGTGAAAAACACTACAGAAAATTGGGAATTAGGGGTGTCAGTTTAATTTTGTTTTAGGAAATTCCAAAAGTGATTGGAATTTAAAATAATTATCCATTAATCAATAACGATTCATTTTTATGGCCTCATGGGGATGTAGTCTATTTTTATCCACAATTTTAATACGTATACCTAAAAAGAAGTGATTTTTCCTCAGGTCATTGAATTCTAATGCATTTGCATTTAGTGTCAAATTAATTTAAGTGCATATATGCACATTTTGCATATTTTGTATTAGCACCAGTCATAATGAAAGACTGCAAGGCATCGTTTATTTGTGAAACAAATCAAGTTCACAAAGAGAACATTGTGAAAAATGAGCTTAGTTGGATGAAGCAGATCAGATCTTGAAGGTTTCCTCATGTTAATAACTGGCTCTTCCTTCTCTCAAACTCAGAGTGAGCTTGACGCCGAGACAGAACCTGTCCAGAATCATCCTGAAAGGAATCTTCCAGGGGGTGAAGGTGGTGCGGGGGCCCGACTGGGACTGGGGCAACCAAGACGGTGAGACTCACTCGCTAACACCTCTGGATCTGTTCAATGCAGCATCTGTAGAGCTTATAGAAAAGACAACCTGAATGTCATTAGCTAGAAGAGTTGAAGTCTGTGTCATGTTGGACTCTTAGGATGGACATTTGCAGTTTTATCATTGCCTTAAAGGGTTAGTTCACCCAAAAATGAAAATTCTGTCATTAATTACTCACACTCATGTCGTTCCAAACCCGTAAGACCTTCGTTCATCTTCAGAACACAAATTAAGATATTTTTGATGCATCCTGAAAACTCTCTGACCCTCCATAGACAGCAAGGGTACTAACACGATCAAGACAGAAACGTAGCAAGGAGATCGGTAAAATAATCCATGTGACATCAGGGGTTCAACCGTAATAAATCAAAATTTTCAACAAAATATACAAAAATAATGACTTTATTCAACAATTCGTCGTCTCCGAGTCACCTAATAATGCCATTTTGGAGAGTATCACATACGTAGACAACAAATGAAACGTATGTACACAGATATGTTTATGTTCAGATCAAAGCGTGAACTACGTAAACAGCGTATCCGCATAAATACGTTTCATATGTTGTCTACGTATGTGATACTCTCCAAAATGGCGCTACAGGGTGATGCGGAGGAGACGAATTGTTGAATAAAGTCGTTATTTTTGTTTACTTTGAGCACAAAAAGTATTCTCGTAGCTTTGTAATATTACGGTTGAACCCCTGATATCAACATGGATTATTTTACCGATCTCCTTGCTATGTTTCTGTGTCTTGATCGTGTTAGTACCCTTGCTGTCTATGGAGGGTCAGAGAGCTCTCACATTTCATCAAAAATATCTGAATTTGTGTTCTGAAGACAAACGAAGGTCTTACGGGTTTGAAACGACATGAGTGTGAGTAATTAATGACAGAATTTTCATTTTTGGGTGAACTAACCCTTTAACCACTTCTAGTCCTGCAGAGTTTAGTTTGAATTTATTTTTAAGAAATGTTTTTAGGTAATTCTGGTTGAAACGTTTGAAACGAAACTCTCCAGAAACGTTTTTGCAAAGGAAAGTGACTTTGTTGTTGTTTCTTTACATTGATGATATGTGAGATATGAAAACTATGGCAGTTCAGCGGCCTGTTGCATAAAACAAGTTTACCAAATAAGCCAGGCTTATTTTTAGTTAGTTTGACTTATTTTGAACCAAATCAACTGGCAATAAGCCAGACCAACTGAAATAAACCTGGCTTATTTGGTAAACTTGTTTTATGAAACAGGCCCCAGATGTTTGAGCTTGTGTTGTGTCGTGTTGTTTTATCATCCGTTGTGCTGTTTCTATAAACACTTGCACATGTTCTCGTGTGAAGGTTGTATTTTAAAATGTATAATAACTTCAGTGATGAATGAGTCAAAATGCCCATGTGGAGTTCATCGACTGATCCTCCCAGACGTCTGTAGACAGTGAGGTTCTCTTTCTCTGTGTTGTGTGTGATCTGAAACTCATCGCTGTGAAGTTAGTGTTGGTTAGCTGTTGCTGAACACTTGTGTTAGTTGGTGATGGTTGTTATTAAATGTTCATATTTCACCCCAAAATCAAAAGAGAATGTAACAAATTTCCATTAAGAAATTTAAACTTTTCTTAGGGTTTAAGACCATTAAGATGTTTGCATTATGACATTTTCATTCCGACTATGTACATATTTTGCATAAAGAAAATGAAGTCTACTTTTAGGACTATTGAGATGTTTTACAAATAAAATTTGACAATGGTCATACAATATATTTGTTTTTCTTTATGCAAAATATGACTGCTTATTTGATCTTGTGATTTTGGGGTAAGTCTTGAGAGGTTTTGTGAGATTCAGCTGTGTTTGCCATAGCTTTTTGAGCATTTTGTTGTACTCTTGTTAGATTATGCTTTCATTGTGAAAAGTGAAATATTGGCTTTGTTCAGGTTAAGTATTCAGGTGTCATAACTCTTATTTGATTGACAATGACACTAGATTTTGTGATTAATTTGATGTGAAGATGACTGACATTGGTGTGTTTTAGTTGTTACACCTCTTTACGCCGATCCAGTGTCAGAAACGGGCAGTATTTGCTCCCTAGAGATGATTTTATTCTTTTCATACAGGCATGTTTTGATCCAGTCACATGAAACTATCGTATAGGACATTCTGCTATTACATTTTTGTAATTTTGGAGCCCCAGTGTGCTGACATTTTTCTGTTTTCCTGAAAAAAGAATGAGACAAAATATCTCATAATTTAGCATATAAAACCACAGGAATTGTCTATGGAGATCTTTTTTTTTTTTGCACTCATGTTTACATAGCTGAAATATTTTAGTTCCTTTCAGATGCATTTTCTGACCCTGCTCTGCTCTGATCTGATATTTCTAATTCCTTTCAGACAAAGTACATGCATGTTGATTTTTAAACTGGTTTTCTTCCATCTCTCAAGTTTAGATAATTCAAAGCTGCTGATATTGGTCTGAGTCTCCTGCCCTGTGCTGCTTCTGTCTCTATATATGTGTGTGTGTGTGTGTGTGTGTGTGTGTGTGTGTGTGTGTGTGTGTGTGTGCGCGCGGGCGCGTGTGTGAGAGAGAGAGAGAAAGAGAGAGAGAGAGGGGGTCTCGGGTCGTAGCGTGGCTAGTGTCACCTGGTCCAGCGGAACCACAAATGTCTACAGAATGGGCCACAAGGGCAAGGTGGATCTGAAATACGTGTCGGATGTGCAGGGAGGATACTACTACAAGGAGCATCTGCCCAAATTAGGTAGGAGCGGCTGTAAAACACAGCCAGCGAGTGTGCTTGACAGTGACCTGTAGCTCATGAGAATGATTTATTTTTGCATAGAACAAATCATTTGCCTAGCACAAATACAAGACAGTGAAACAGATACATTTGTAACTTTTGCCATCAATAAAACCATCCATTTTATATAAAAAAATAAATAAATATATATATAATGTTTTTGTGTGTGTGTGTGTTATTGTGTGTGTGTGTTATTGTGTGTGTGTGTGTGTGTGTGTGTGTGTGTGTGTGTGTGTGTGTGTG